GGACCATTGTCATTTACTGATTAAAATGATGTGGGTGGTGCTTTGGTCTATGCCATAAATCCCCCTACCTAGCATTTCTATCCAGTTTGGCTCTTGCCTGAAAAATTTGCTGTTGTTTTCTTTTCTACTTTGCCTCCTGGTACCACAGTTTATTTTATGACTTCCCTAAGCTTTAAATATTTTTGCTGCTCGCTGACATATTCTGCAGGGATCCATGTGATTAATAAGCCCAGGAATGACAGTCTGTGAAATAGCGCTGAGCTCCACAAGACTACCCATTCCTCAAACAGTAAGCCCCTGATCCTCTAACCACCAACTTTGTGAATAGCTGGCACTGGATTTGACGGGGCTGCTCTGGGGTTGGTGGTGGCTTGAGGATTGATGGAGATGATGAATGCATTTGGAGGTTAATAAATTGCCTTGCCTGTTGAGCTGCTCAATGTTATATCATAAACAGAGATGGAAATGCCTGTTGAATCCATCGATTTGGTGGGGGGGAGTATATGGCCTTCGTACGGTAGCTGATTAATTAAAGTATTCATATGAAATTGTGCTCCGATTGTTTTTGGAGGGTAACAGCCAGAGGCCGCGCTGAGGTTCTTTGCCTAGCGAGATGCAAACCAGACACCCAGCCTGTATTTGCATCTGTGTGTATTTTAAATCTGATGAAAAGCAGGAAATGGGGAAACTTGGCTACTCTCCCTGGTTTGACTTAGCAGAGCCTCTTGGCTCTGTGCATTTTTGTGCTGTGCTGGCTGCATGGAAGTTTAGATTCGTTTGCATCAGGGTAATTTTATTCATGGCTCATGCGAAATGATGGAGAAAATAAATTGAGAAGGGTTGCATGGCTGGATTTGGGGTGGGGGAGAATGCACCATGGAACAATGCACAATGGTTAATATTAAGGTAAGAGTAGGATGCTTGTGGGCCCTGCCCTGTGATCTGGAGGTGCCACTCCCGAATTAGGGTTCCCAAATGTTACTCACGTCTCCGGCGGGGGACTCCTGCGCGGCATCCGGAGCGCGCACGCACGCCGCATGCACATCACAGGGAAGTGATGTCATGACGCCGGGCACGCTGGGGGCGTGGCCACGACCATACAAGGGAAAACCATAGAGTTTTCTCTTGTATGGCCGTGGCCCCGCCCCCAGCATGCCCGGCGTAATAACGTCACTTTCCTGTGATGTGCACACTGGGGCGGGGTTCCCCCCGGGGCCCAATTCCCCGGCGTCTGGGAACGGGCCTCTGGGGCGGGGGGATTTCCGCCCCCCGGGGGGATTTGACAGCCCTATCCCGAATCCAAAATGCACAGGGACTGGTTGTGAGTACTACTGAGTGGGGAAAGGAAGGGAAAGCCACACATGCTTGGAAGGACTCTCCCCTTTGGCTGATACATCCCAAGTAATATATAGTGAGTGCGAGGACATCATCTGTTGCCCTGGATATAAACTGTCCTGTGGAATAAAAAGTAGATTTTGTGCAGTATATTATGGCAGTACCAGCAATGTCTAGAAAAGGTTCCAGAAGGGTTTGGGGGAATTTCATAGAATCATAGAGTTGTAAGAGACCTCTAGGGTCACCTAGTCTAACCCCCTGCACAATGCACGAAATTCGCAAATACCTTCCCCTCCCACCCCCAGTGGGTTTCTTCCTGTAACAGAAGATGACAATGCAAACAAATCAGAGGAGGTTAAAGGGGTTCTGTATGCCAGTTTCCTTCCCAAGGCCTTTTATTTATTTAAAATATTTCTGCCGTCCCTCTCCATACAAATGTCAACAAACAGCATACAGCACACTAAAAGCAGTAACACAGTAAAACCCCAAATATCATAATAAAAGACAGCAGCAAGACCAGTTTGAAAAGATTGCAAATAAAGCAGTTAGAGCAATAAAACAGATTGAGATTTGTAAATAAGCCCATTAAAAAGCCTGGAAGGAAAAAAACCTGGCACCTAAATTTGGCACTTGGTGAGCTTGTGTGAAGAGGGAGTTCCACAACCTAGATACCATTTCCGAGAATGTCCTATCTCTCTTGCTCACTCACCTAGCTTCAGAGAGCAGAGGCATACAGAGTAGAGGCTCTGAACATATCCATAGGCTGATAGGCTCCTATGGGCCTTCAGATACCCTGGTCTCAGACCATGTAGAGCTTTATAGATAACAACCAACACTTTGCATTGTGCTTAAAAGCAAACCAGCAGGCAGTGGAGACTGAAGATCCCCACATGGAACAGATCACTTCCCACAGAGAAAATGGCTGCTTTGGAGGATGGTCTTTATGGCATTATACTTTGCTGAGGACCTTCCCCTCTCCAAATCCCACTCTCCCAAATCTCAAGTAATTTCCCAACCTAGAGGTGGCAACCCTAAGTACCTGCTAGCAGCCTAGCTGTCACATTCTTACCTGGTTGAAGTTTCTGGGCTGTCTTGTGACCCACGCAGAACACTTAACTGTAGCCTACCCGAGATGTGATCAGAGCATGGATAACTGTGATCAAATCATACCTCTAAAAGAGGCACTTTATCCGGTTGCTATGTGCTACAGAGGAGATCTGTGCCTCTGTCTTTATCCTTGGGTAGAGCATTCCCAAGATATGTATCTGCTTGTTAAGGGAAGTGCAACCACATTCAGAACAGGTAGAGTTTGCAAATCTCAGTTGGTCTTATTATGAACCAACAGCCTCTTACTGCCTTCAGACACCAGTGTAAAGCATGCATTGTTCTACTATGGCAGATAGCATTTAAAGTAGCTAAGAGACAAACTAAATGTTACATTTAAAAAAAAGATTTGAGTCCAGTTTTTCCAGACTCGATGTATTTGCCTACAGCCACACAGCAGCTGTGGGGACAAGCAATGCCAGCCTCCTAGTGGGACCTGGGGATCCTGTGGAATTCCAGCTCATCTCCAGGCTACAGAGATCAGTTTCCCTGGAGCAAATAGATGCTTTGGAGGGTGGACTGTGTGGTACTCTACCTCGCTGAGGTCCCTGTCCTCCCCAGCCTCCATCCCCAAATCTCCAGGAGTTTTCCAACCTGGATCTGGCAACCCTGCCCCCCCCATCCCCTGCCAGTGACCGGGGGGACGTGACAACCCTAGGACAGTCTGTTCAAAAATGAAGGTGAGCCCAACTGAACTGGGAACTACAATGAGGTGGGGGGAGGAAGAGCTCTTGCCTTCTCCTCTGTGCCTTATCCCAACTTGAAACAGTGTGTGTGTGTGTGGGGGGTGTTGTTTCCCCCTTTTTGGCTGTTCCATGTGCAGTTTTCCATGTACATCTTTGAACCTGGACTCAACTTAAAAAAAAAAAAAGTAAGATCTAGTTTGGCTCTAAGAAATCGGGGCAGTCAAGAGGGTTGTAACCCCCCCCCCCAATCTCTCCATGTGATGGGTTTTATCCAGTGCAACCAAGACTGACCAAAAATCAGACCTGAAACAAGACTGACATGAGTCTAGATAATCAATTTTATCTAAGAAAATCTAGAATTGCACATTTACAACATGCTTGAGCCCAGGGGTCATTTCATAGAAAAAGAGCTAGGGGAACTCATTAGCATAACTCATTAGCATATGCCACACCCCTGACATTAGGGGCCCGGCGATGGACCTGCAAGGCCAGCGGGAGTGCGAGGAAGCCCTGCCAAGGCCCTCCCTGGCCCCAGGCAGGCAGGAGTGGGGAGAGGTGGGGAGGAAGCAACTTACCCTCCCTCTTCTCCTGCCTCCTCCTGGCTGAATGAGGGCTGGAAACGGGGTGGCCGGAAGCAGGGGGTGGGGCTTCATTGTGTGCCCCGCCCCCCGCTCCTCACCCGGGGGAACTGTGATCCCCCGCGTACCCCCCCAAAATGACCTCTGGTCACGTCTCTTCTGACTTATGGCAACCCTATGGATTAACATTCTTCAAAACCTCCTGTGGTTAACAGCCTTGTTCAAGTCTTGCAAACTGAGGGCCATGCCCTCCTTGGTTGAGTCAATCCATCTCATGTTGGGTCTTCCTCTTTTCCTGCTGCCTTCAACTTTTCCTGGTTTTGAAACTATCACCTCAATTTTACCTTCCCTAGACCCCTTTCTGTAAGACCTATTCTGGATAGCTTCTGAAGGTGGGGTGGGGGTTAAAATACACAGCAGACATAGCTGTGCAGGCAACTGTTGAAAAAAACCCTTGTTATCTCAGGCAAATGTCTTTTTTCAACTTGAAATGCTTTAGCTGAAGATGGATTGAATTTGTGGCCTCATATATGCAGAGTATATACAGAGCCTGTGAACTCCTCGTAAGCCCCTCCTTGTAAGGCATCCTTAGTGGGTAATCTTATATTAAGGCAGCAGTTGCCAGCGTGTGACTTTCATCACTTCCTCTAATGTAACACAACCCTATTCATGATGTTCTGTCAGTGTAATGGAATTTGCCGCCCTTAGCTTTCTGTTTATATTGACATTTAGTATACTGTATATGCTAGTTCTTTAGCTTGCTGATTTGGACACGCTGATCAGCTGGCACTGAACACATATTTATGGGTGCTGTCAAAGGAGAGGGAAGTGAAGAGGTGCATCTCAGATCGTTTATCAAATGGATTTGACCCTTAAATCCCCAAGGCCAGTTCAGCATGGGTGGTCTCATTTTCATGGTTCCTCTCCCCAAACAGAAGAATAGTTATTTGGATTTAGAGTGCCTTGGCATCTTGTCAAGGACAGGTTGCTGTTTGCAGTCATATGTTTGTATTTCCATTATCCCACCATTTGAACTTATTACTAGACAGCTGCTATATCTAGGGGGGAAAGACTAATAATTTCCCATGCACAGTTGTAATTATGCACTGCTTTATGCTGGGCAAAATGGGATTACCCCAGTGTTTTTCAGCTTCTGTTGATATACAGAAAAATCTCTTTAACAGTGTTTCTTATTTTTAAACAGTAGAGGATCATTTTTGTTTCTTGGTTTTTCTTTTCCCATAGGAAGATTTGCCAGCACTGTAAGTGTCCACAGTCAGAACACTTTGAAACAGTGATGCCCCTAGAAATGGAGAAAACTGTGACCAAGCTGATGTTTGACTTCCAGCGCAATTCGACTTCTGACGATGACTCTGGCTGTGCCTTGGAAGAGTACGCCTGGGTTCCTCCGGGGCTAAAACCAGAACAGGTAAGTGTTGTCGTTTGCACTTCGCAGTCACTGTGCATACAAATCTTCAGATCCTATCAATGGAGAAAATGGATTACACTTCAAATCTCTCAGGAGAACCGCCAAAGGGAGATCTTGGATAAACTCACTGCCACCATACTGATGTTTTCTAGACATGGAGAGAATGCATGTGGTCAAGCACTGCTAAGTTTGACAATCGCTCAGGATTGTAAATAAATACACACAAGTGTCTGTCCACAAAAGCATCACTAATCTGCTGTCCTGTACATCCCTGTATTAATAATTTGTGATATACTGATACACAACCTTCTCACAGTGGAATGCTTGTTTTTACAAAACTGGCATCACAAATGGCCCGTGCCTGTGAACATTCATAATGTTGATCCTTGTTTCTGAAATGGCATGTTTCTATTTGAAATGTGCTGAGGCATGCTCAATATAGTCATCATTTGTATGCAGAACAGTTAAAGATGGCATTAGGCATGGAAGGTCCAGCATCTTCTCCTTCTCACCAAGCAGCTTGATCAAGGAAAACTGAAACATCTGAGATAAACATTGCAAACACGGCATTTAACTGGAATTTTGGAAATGTTTGTCTCATCAATCTGTTAGCTGGTGGTGGTTGTTTTACTTGGAATTTCAATTTTTTTTAAAAAATGGGGACAGTTTAGCCAGAGTTCCTTGCAAAGTGTTCAGCTGCCAGATATGTAGGGATTCATTGGGATTCAGATGAGATGCAGCATCTGACAAACAAGTGAAAAGAACACAAGACACTGAGTGATGTGGAAACTTGTTTGTATTCTTAGTTGTTGTAGTATACGCTAACAAGTGGGGTAGATCCTACCACTATCCTGCCCTCCACTCAGCAGTTTATTCATTAATTTATTAAAATATTTATACCCCATCTTTTCTTTTGAGTCAAGTTCAAAGTCTTAGTCCAATGTAAGGAGCTGTCTTCCATCTTAAGCACCTCTGCTGTTGCAGAAGGTTGAAATTAGGTTGAAGGATGGCTACTTACAGGATGATTGGATCCTGCCCTATTCTACCTGTTTGGGGACTTTACAATGTATATATAACTTCTAGGAACCTGCCTGAGGCAGCTTACATTACAAAATAAAAAACCAAAACATTAAAAGATGTTAATTAAAATCTAGCATTAAAAAAGCCCCAGCCCAGTATAAAAACATTGATCATAAAAACAGACAACAGAAAGTTTGAAACAGTTTCCAGGCTAAAAGACACCAATAAAGGAATATCACCATGTCTGCTGATTTTTTAGAGGCATTCCCATATGTGTTACTGCCTTGTTGCAGACAAACCTCGTCTGTTGCAGATCAGTCCAGGATGTACCAGAATTCTGACCATGCTGCTTTCTGGGTAGTGTTGCCAACTCTGGCCTGGGAAATTCCTGGAGATTTTGGGGTAGAGTCTGTTAGGGTTACCAGGTCCAGATGACAAGCCAGCAGGAGACTTACCAAAATGCTCCAGGAGAGGGGAGGGAAGAAGCTATGGTTTGAAGCAAATTCTACCATAAAATTTTGCCCCAAAACTAGAGTGTCCCCCCCCAACGTCGGGGGTGGTACCCCCGCCGGCTAGCCGTAAACACTGGAAACCAGGGGATCCCCCACGTGCCACAGGGCCCTGGAAACCCTAGTGTCTGTGGAGGTGACAATATGGGGAAGGATTTCACCTTGAATCTATATTATACTATAGAGTTTTCTCTCCATTTCCTCCAGCGGAAAATCTCTTGTCGTCTGGAGATCAGTTGTAATTCCAGGAGACCTCCAGGCCTCACCTAGAGGCTGGCAACCCTGTTTCTGGGCCACTTCTGGTTATAGAAGATGGAGGAGGAAGGGAAGCTGCATCTTCGACTAATCTTCTCATTAGAACATATACCCTGCCATTCAGTTAGATGTGGCTCTGATGTGGCTTACAATAGAATCATACAAAATCATGTCAATAAAACGGCATCCCACTCAGATCTGAAGCAACTGAGTCCTTTTCAATTTCCTAAAAGCTCCCAGAGATAAGGCCAAGCATGATTTCTTATGGAAGGCATTATATTGTCAAGTTGCTGCTACAAAGAAGGCTCCACTCTTTATACTTACTAGCCCAGTCCCTGGAAGAAGGAAATGTGTAACAGAGGCTCCCCAGACCACTTCAATATGCAGAAAGCTTTCATGCGGGATTATAAGCATTCCCTCGCTTTGTACCTATTATGTCAGGCTGCATCTCCTCAAGGGAGGTTGTTCTCAAAACTTGATCTTGTGGTTCTGTGTAGCTGTGACCAACATATAGGGAAGCAGTGCTGTTGCAGTGGCGGTACCATCTTTTACATGTGGTAGAACGGGCAAAGTATTCTGGCTTTTTCCCTACCAGTGCTAAGGTCAGTTTCAGTCCATTGCTTTGAAGGTGTATCTGTTGATATGCCATGATTTTCATCCTTCCAAGGGATGACTCTCCTTTGGCAACTCCTGTTCAGAGTAAGCCCTGACTGACAGAAGGCCCCTAGCACCAATCCATCCAAGTAGTAGCTAGGCAACTTTTGGCTATGAATCTGAGCCAGCCTTAGCCATGGTGGCTTATACATGCAACTCTTCTTGTGCATACCATCAGTACTGTACTAGGGGCAAAGATATTTGGAAGGCTTGCTCCACTTTAAAGGAAGCAAATGCCTCAAATTATTGTGGTTAGCAAGAAGAACAGAAGTGGCATTTCACCTACATCAATAAAAATCTGATTTGATGTCAGGCTCAGGCTTTGTTAGGTTCCTTCTTGTTGTGCTGTGTTAGATTTACTGAAGAGAGATCCCAGTGCATAAAATACACATTGCCAGTTGCCATTAAGGACATTAATAAGACTGATGTGCCACAGTACATTGTTACAATGAAATATTTACCTGTTTCTGTTATTCACCATTTGCTTGATTCATTCAGCCTTCCTGGTAATCATTTCATGTTTGAGACGGGGAGCTTAATTTGCCAAGGACATTACGAAATGAAACTCACTTGAATAATGATGAGGGTAATAGGTTTCAAAATTGTTTAAGGAGTCCAGAAGCCTTCCGTCACATGGTTAGATTGTGCTCAGAATTTGAATAAGATGCTTTTCCCTCACTTTGATTCAGACACTCACCTTTAGTTCCTGAAATATTTCAAAACCTTTTGTACACTGTAAATAGTTTCTTTTTCTTTCTTTTTTTTGCACTTTTCTTTCGGTTTCTGCAAACTATGCAGTAATTTGTTAATGTTCACTGGAAGATCTTGTCTTCTTGCATTATAGTTGTTCCAAAATGAACATTGTGCATTCAAAGGTAACATGAATCTTCACCAGCCTTAACAAACTATAGATTTTTCTACATACCTGTTGAATGACTATGGGGAGAGAGAAGGTTTACTAGCCAGAAGTGCTGCAATCATGACAGGTTGCAGTTCAGAAGAGGCATATATGCACCCAGGTATTTCTAAGAGCTTTCCTCTCAGATGGTGTCTCTGAAGGACCCCCCCCCCTCATTTTTCTTCATCCATGTGAATTGAAAGAAGCAGAGCTTTTTAAAAGGATGAATCTGAGAAAGCTAGCACAAGACAGATTTATTTTATTTCTGCCTTCATTGCAGCACAGTAATTTGCTGATCCAAGACTCTGGCATCGCCTGTGAATTGAAGGCATGAGAATAGCAAATGAACTGGCATCTCAGCTGCTTAGCAACAAATTCTCTGTCTGTAAGTGCTTAGCAACAGGTGATCTTTCATTCTTAGGTTTCTGACACAAGATTCCCCTATGTACACACAGAGAGGACTTAGTCGGCCAGATGCTTGCTCAGGACCTGGCTGGTGAAAAGGATCAAGGTTCAATGTACTAGTCGCAGACTTACAAATTCAAGGTCTGGAAAGGCAATGGCAAATGATTGGAAGATGCATTATTTTAGCTAAAGTTGTTTCAAAGTCTGAATCTGGACAGATTTCCAGAAGTTGCATCTGAATAGGGCGTTTTCTCTTACTAGCCATACTGCTTAAGATCAGGTGTATGTTCTGTTCTGCCATGTTTAGCTCCCAATGAATGGAAAAGTTATCACTTGATCTATTGATGTGTAGCCAGCAATTTAGTTGGTTATGAAAATATGAGGCTGCCTTGTAGTGAATCAAATCATTGGTCCATCATGCTCAGTCCTGTCCACTCTGTTTTTAATTGCCTGAAATTCCAGAGAACTATAAAGTCCTCCCCAGAACTTGTTTCATGATATTTTGTTATTGGAGATGCCAGAGATTGAACTGGGACCTTTTGCATGCCAAGCAGGTGCTCTACCACTAAGCTATGGCCATCCCTGATGTTTTCCAAATCGTTCTATGAAACCGAGTTCTGCCCTGGTTGACAAACTTCCTGTTTATCCCTCTTGAAAGCCAGTGTGGTGTAGTGGTTAAGAGCAGCAGACTCTAATCTGGAGAACCAGGTTTGATTCCTGACTCCTCCACATGAAGCCTGCTTGGTGACCTTGGTCCAATCACAGTTCTCTCAGGACTCTCTCAGCCCCACCTACCTCACAAGGTACCTGTTGTGGGGAGAGGACAGGAAAGGTGATCGTAAGCCACTTTGGGACTACTTAGGGTAGGGAAAAGTGGGGTATAAAATCCTGCTCCTCCTCTTCTTCCAACACTGCTAACACTGCAGTTCCCATGCAGAGCTATTCCCGTCTAAGCTCATTGAAACACTGCAAATCACTAGCAAGACCATTCTAAGCAAAGCTACGTGTTTCTCAACTTTTTTCAGTCATCCTATTTCTTGGACTTCCTTTATCATTTCCATGCCCCTCCACCTGTTTTTAAACTTGCTACATCTTTGCCTATTCTGCTCATTCTATGCATGCCTCTGTCCCTACTTCTCCCAATGTCTCAGCCTTGGTGTGATATCTTCCCAAGCTAACAGTTCATCCATTTGCAGACTCTGCATCACTCCTGAACATTTTATGACTGACCCTTCCCCACAGGTAGAGTCCAATGGCAC